CCATCGACGGACTAAATCCCAAACTACTTTTGTGCCAGGACACTTAAAGAACAGATGAGCAGCAGATTCTTCACTAAGGGAGTATAACTTACAAGTTTGAGCGAAAAATTATACTTGTATTTCCCTATACTAGTCAAGGTTGTTAAAGTCGAAACGGGCATGGAATCCGTAGAATTATTGACGAGAAGGGGTAGCTCAATTGGGACCAATAGATCACGAGTTCGAGTCATCCAAAGAGAAAAGTGTGGAACAACTATTGATCCTCTTTGAAGAAGAAAAAAAAAAGTTTAATGGTTTATTGGTTTGAACGAGTGGTTGAATCGGTTTAATATATCAATAATTTTAAATATTATAGATTATCATGAGTATTATATTTTTATATATTTTATGAACTAGTATGTGGTCCGCACGGCAAAACAATGTTATGATTGTATTATGATTACATATATAAATAACATCAATTATGATTTACCATTGTTTTCAAATCAGGACCGAACCCAACAGTCTGACCATATGGACCAAGAACCGATTTATCGACCAATCCAGTTCACCTGAATAAAATATTTACTAACAAATTGGTCTACATCAGTCGACTGGTAAGACCACTACTATTTTTTACATAAATTTTGTTATAGTTAAAATTATTTTTAATATAATAAAAATATATATTTAAATAAAATAGAGAAATAATTTTATATATTAATTAGTTTAAACGTTGGACATTTTAAATTGTTCGGATGTTCAATTGATAATTTTTATATATTATAAAAATACTATATATCTTACTGTCCCGAGTCACACCCAGACCTTACCATTACTATGCGTGGTTCTCGAGTCACATGCGCGCCTTCGCCAATGCGCTTGTATGTGCAATGTCGCGCCACCCTGCGCGTGCGCTCGTGCTGCCATGCTCGCATCGACTTGTGTCGCCTTTCTTGTGCGCACGTCTCCACCATGCGAGTACCTTTTTGCCTCTTTGCTCGGTCTTGTGCGGTTGTCTCCGCTCTCGGCGACTCTCGTGAAAGGGCATCTAAACCTCATCTTCATCACGAGCCACCGTCGCCCCCACCGACGGCCTCTGTTGGCCCAACACGAGGGCGAACAATGGCGGAAGGGAAGAGCCGCAGAGTCAACTGCGAGCTCCGACCACCACCAGCCGGTCGAGCACCCCCCGCCACCACAAAGCCGCCCAAACCCTGCTTCTACCTCACCCGCCATACCCCGTGCCGAGGGAAACGAGGGGAATCCCACGCAAGGATTGGAGCAACGAACTTCGGAAGTGGCGACCCGCGCTGGCACCACCTCGGGCCTTGACTCCCGCCGGAGGGAGGAGAGTCGCCGATAGTGGAGAGGCACGCTAGAGACTTCAAATTAGATTTTACCTGGGAAAAAGGGATCCGGGATTTAGAGAGAGAAAAACTTTTTAAACTTATTAACTGGTTGGTACAGAGGAACTTTGAAATTTCCATTTAAAATCCGATCACACCTCTTATGTTTGAACGTTTTTTAATCTATTTTATCTGATTTTTTCTGAAATTGGTGTGACCTGCCATTAATGCTATGCTATAGCTCATTAAAAGACATGAAAATGGAAGAAGGTGTACAGAGGTGGGCTGTTAACATATCCAACTGGAAACCTTCTTCGCATCATTTTCTCGCTGCCATGTCTGTTCTCCCCGGCCATGAACACTCCTCCATCACCAGGTTCATCTTTTTGTCCCTTTCTGATTAGTATACTGCGACGCGG